TCATCCACGTGGCTGGCCTTGTACGTAAGAGGTTATGAGCAGGTGGAGCTTTCCTTACCTCTTCCCCCTCCCCCTTTTTTCCTTTTCCTTTTTTCTTTTCCCTTTTTTGCGCTCTGATTCACAATGTGACAATATATATATATCATATATATATATACAGTTTGTCACAGCCCCTCGTTTGTTGTCCTCTTCTCCCTCTCTGCCTACGGTTTACCGGGCAGTTCTATTTGACGATATATATATATATATATATACTATTTGACGATATATATATATATATATTGCGTTGAACTGGCTACAACGCAAAAAAAAGGCATCTAGCTCAACGCTAGGGCGCGAGGGTAGGGGGCTTTATATTCGAGTTTTTTAAGTTTCTTTGAGGTTATGTTATAATTTAACAAAACAACAACCTTTGCAGAAAAAAAAAGAACCTATGGATTCTCCTACTATTTTGCATCCCCGACGTGATAGAAATCTCAACATTGAGCTCACTCAAGGGTGCAAGTGGGACGAGGCCCCGGAGTTATCCTGGGAGCATTACCCAGTTTCTCTGACGAGCAGTTGGTCATAGCGGAACTGAGGTGGGCCCAGGTTGGTATGGCAAATGGTCTGTGGTGGAAATTATTTGCATTCCCAGGACAGAGGTCGGCCCAGGTTGGTATGGCAAAATTGCGCTTATGACCAACTACTAGAATGGACAAATTATGGATACACCCAGGCGTAATTATGGGCAAACGGGGAATGAGGTGGGCCAGCCAAATTATTCATTTACCTGACTACACGATGGCTGAAATTAAGCTCATATGGGCCACCCGTTGAGCCACAACGGTCCACTTTTTGGTGGGCACAAGCAAAATTTCGTGGTGCACCATCCAAGTCCGCCCGCCACTGGGTGTGGGCACACCGGCAATTTTGCCAGCCCGGTTTCTGGGCATGACCATAATTTCGTTGTCTGGACCGGTCTGGACTGAAGGCCCCTGCGGAATTGGGTACGCCCGTAATTTCGCGCAGGGGAAAGTTGGGTGCTATCCAAAGTTGAACGGGTTCTTTTGAGGGGTGGACCCTCAGTCAGGGGAGCGGTCTTGCTTTGGCCACTTTCTACCTCTGGACATTTTGGTCCATCACCTGAACCTAAGCTGGGTAATGGTCCCAGCCCTTTTTCCGGGTTGATTGTGGAGGGATCCCTGGCCTCCCTTTTACTGTCTGGTATAATGAAAGTGATATTTTGTTAAAAAAAAAAAAAAAAAACGGGTTCCGCCGGGGTAGTTGGCGCTGGGACTGGGTATAACGGGTTTTACAGGTGCAATTTTCCCCCTTTTTTTTCTTTTTTAGTTTCTTTTTTGTTTTTCGGGTACCTCATCCTGGGAGAGAACCGTATTTTCCTGCATAATTACCATATCAGATCTGAATGTCTCGATTCTATCCACTGCTCATAACATTGCAAACAAGATCATGCGGGTTGCCGGCCTTCCAAGATTAGGACTTTGTTGTCTGAATATATATGGTCGCTATTGCGGTCGTGTACATTGCTAAAAGGCCTGGTGAGTATGCCTTGATTGGCGGTGCCCTGCCGGCGTTCCAACATTATGACTTTGTCGTCTGAATATGGTCGCTATTGCGGTCATATACATCCCCAAAAGTCCTAGTGAGTATGCCTTGATTGCCATCGCCCTGCGTGTCGGCTAAATTTTACCTCCGCTGCCTTCTTCCCCTCTGAGCCCAAAGCAGTCCCATCACGGCTGTATCGAACCGGAAAGTTGGCTTGTGAAGAAGATCAAATATTGGCGTGTATTTTGCCACCTTCTTGCTGAAGATACACTCACCAGTTAGCTTGTGAAAAAGGTAAAAAAGTTGGCGTGTATGTTGCCAGGTCCTTGCTGAAGATACACTCACCATTTGGTGCATGAGGAGCAGTACAGGCAGGCCCTTAAAGCTTTGTTTGCTTGCTCCATGCTGTGCATTGTTGATCCTGCTCAAATTATTGAGCTTTTTTTTTTTTTTACTTTCTGGAGATGGAGGGAGTTTAGCACAATGGCAAACTGATGGGTGTGGGAGGTACTGACTCAATCAGGACTGTCCTTGATGAATTTGACCATAAATACGGCCAGATTCCTTGCCTAAGAAAGAACTAAATGGTCATACAAGGGACCTGAACATCTCAGTCTGACTGGGAAACGGGGGTCAGGTCCCACTAGCAGAGAGGATTGGATTGAACGCCTGAATCTGGACGTGTTTGTGCAGAGGTGCAGAAAACCGAGGCCAAACTGCTTCTCTGCATCTCTCCACTAAACACATTCAGATTCAGGATCTTAATCCAGTTCTCTTTGCACACCCAGATTCGGGCGTTGAGGAAACTCAACGCTGCTAGTGGGACTTGGCCCCAGGAATGCAGAGGGATCGAAGGCAAAGCCATGCATGCATCTTCACATGGTAGCGGATCATGGCCGGGGTTATTATTATTGTGATGGTGATTATTATTATGATGATTATTATTAAAAGTGCAACGGTTTTGATATATCATCATTGTGTGTGATTTTTGTTTGAACTTCTTTTTTTTTTTTTGTGTGTGTGTAAGCTATTGACAAGAAAAGCAGCATTAAAAAAAAAAAAGGGAAAAAAAAGATATCAATCATATCATCATCATTGGATGGACCGGCCTGATTGCATCTGCATTCAAACTTGGGTCTGTATTTCAACATTTCATGGGTGTAATCTAGGCCCGTTGTTGGGGTTATTACTTTCTATTGAGGACGAGGCTTTAAGAAGAAGCCAAGCTTCAGGTCCTACTGCTGTGACCCCCTCGAGAGGGGGGTTGGGGGGTGCGGGGTGGGTTGTTTCAAGAAAGGCTTGCTTGGCAGGAGAGGCAGGTTGGTTGGTTGGTGCTTCCAATGTGGTTGCATTGCCAAAACCACTCAAACAATTAACTTTTAGTTTCACATGAAGGTGTCTGCTGGACGGAATTCCACAGTTCTTATCACCCTTTTCCATGAAGAAAAGTCAACGTCTTGCCACTATTCTTTGAGTGAGCAGAGCACAGAGGCTTATTATCTTGATGGCTGGCTGTTGCAGATCGGTCCGGAAATCTGTGTGCTGAAAACTCATGTCGACGCACTGGACGACTTCACACATGACTTTGTTCTGAAGCTCAGAGAGGTATGTGTATGCCTATTCCTCCGGCACTCGTCTATGTTTCGTACGCTTATGCCTATTCATCCGGCACGCGTCTATGTTTCGGACCAAGCTTGTACTCCACAAGTAACTCCCATCTCTCTTTTTTTTTTTTTTTTTTTTTTTTTTTGAAAGGACAAATGCTCCAGTCTATTCGTGGGGAGCTAACTCCATGTCATTTATTGATTTAGCGTCTATATGTTAGTGAGTCTATATTTAGCATCTATATGTCGCACCCTCTGGAGTGTAGGGCGATAGGTGGTATTGTGGTGTTGTGCCTTTGGACGAAGACTATTGCCGCACTTGGCTAGGGCGTAAGCTTGCGTTTTTTTTTTTGTTTGTTTTTTTTTCCCGCTTTTTTTTCTCAACACTTCTGGAAGTTTTTAAACCTTGGGGAGTATGCAGTTGATGGGAAGTAGAAGGTCTGATCCTGGTTATGAGGCAAGCTTGTGATTTGGGCCATCCAGTCTGAAGCAAGTCTATATTTCTTTTTCAGACTGTTGCTGCCCTTGTTGTTGTGGTGGTTGTTCGAAAATAGGCATAGATCCGAAGACTCCCCGAATGGGGTAACCCCTTGTACTGCCACTGGATTCCGTAGGCGGAAAAGAGAGAGAACCTGGTTAACTGCAACATCTTAATAGCTGCTGTGACCCTTCTATCCCCTGGCACCAACCGCTCGTGCGCAGGGCAGGTTGAGGACCGACAGAATAGAACCCACAACCTCCCTGTTGCGACGCCAGAGCTCTTGCCCATTGTGCTACCATGCTTGTGCTGCCGTGTCCTGGCATGCTTGGGCACTTTCCAGTTTAGAGCGAAGGTACTGTAGCACTATTATTATTGTTAGTTGTAATGGATCCACACCTATTCTCTAAGCTCTCTGGTATTCAGGGAAGAAGCTTTCTGAATCTTCTCCCTATCTTTGGTTGTGAACATCTCTTCTTCTTCTTCTTCTTGTTCTTCTATTTTTTTGACATGTGTCTTCTGAGTGTGTTGGGAGGAAAAGGTAATTTCTCTGTCCATGTTTTTGTCGGAATAAAAGAAGTGTGAAGCGTACTGAATCTCCCACACTACTTGAGGTTGTGTTCCAGTGCAAGGAATTGGACTCAAAGACGGGACGAGCGGGCACTTTATTTCATCATCTGGTTTGAAATCTCTTCTGATCTACGTTGGGATGAGCAACAACGACATTCTATATGTTGTTGTGACACACGTAGTATGTTTTCCAGAGAGGGCTGATTCAGGGGAGAGGCAGGGAAGGGAAAGGGGGAGCGGGACGATGTCTGGTTTCCTGCTGCGATGTGTGGTTGGGCTGTGTCTATTTGCAGGGGGGATCGAAGTCTTAATTTGTGCGGATGACGTTATTGCGGAAGTCGATTTGGCTAATATGGTACCTTGTTCATGTGGCTGTCATTATGATTAGATGATTATGATTAGATGTTTCTTCAGCCAGTTCTATATGTGTTTGCAAAGTTTGCATCTCTCTTTCCACCAATCTCATTCCTCTCTCCCTCCACCAATCTCACTTTCCTTTTCTCCTTTGTTCTTTTCCCTCTGTTTTCTTTACGTCCCTGCACCAATCTCGCTTTCCTTTTCCCCTTTGTTCTCTTCCCTCTGTTTTCTTTACGTCTGACTCACACTGGCACTACCTGGCTTTGCACAAAGACTGTTCAGAAAAGAAAGATGAGGAAAAAGAATGAGGAAGAAAGAGGAGGCATACATGTATGGGGTTTTCTGGGATGTGGATCTTCTTTGGGCAAAAAAGAGGAGGGGAAAAAGAGGAGGCATACATGTATGGAAGTCTGGGATGTGCATCTTCTTTGAAGCCCAAGTTCCAGCAGATGAAATGCCTCAGACAGAGAGTACCCATTTAAAAAAAAAAAGAAGCGGCTGCAAGCCTGCAACCAATACAGCTTTCCTCTCTCTGTGTCGCAACTTTGTAGCATCCAGAACAAGTACCCAGTTTGATCTCCTTCCTTAACTCGTCTCTGTTCTCCCATCTTCCCTCTGGTTCTTGCCCATTCCTATGTGTATCTGATATTGCTTACTACCTTCTTCACCCCGAACAGAACGCCCGGTCATTATAGCTGTGCATTTGATGCAACTTTCAGTCCAGATGCAGCAGCAATAATGACCAGGCGTTCTATTCTGGTGAAGATGGTAGGTTTGTGGTTGCCGACTTCGATGTCGCTTATCGATATCCCGCTTCCTTTCTGTCTTTGGCCTTCTCTTTTGTGTAGATTGCTGACAGGCACGACTTCTTGATTTTCGAAGACCGGAAGTTTGCGGACATTGGAAACACAGTCGTCAGTCAATACGCAGGGTAAGGCGGGGGTGGGCTATATAGTCCTTGGGAAGACTCAAGAAGGCTTCTGGGCAAGTTTTTTTTTTGCACTGTCTTTGCCCATCATACTGACCATGCACATTTGCAGGGGGTTGTGCCTAGGCGGTTGGCGTCCAACGTGACGAGTTGACGCAGGCCTGATGAAACAGTCTGTGACAGACTCTTACTGGGCTAAGAGGGAGAACTGCCCCCACTACTGCCTTGGATACTGGTTCCACCACTGGTGAGGCACCATAGAGAAGTGGTGGTTTAGGGTTTAGGCTTTGGATTGATGGGAAAGGAAGGTCAAGCTTGGGATATTTTTCAGTCACATTTTGCATCCGCCAGTTCGTGTTTTAAACTGTTTTGGGTGCCCTGCGAAGGCCAAGACTTCTCAAAGAAAGGGCACAACTACTTGACACCTCGTTAACTATCCATGTTGTTTGCTGATGTGGACTATGAGGCCACTCTATTTGAACTGGCATGCTTGATGTTGTGGCTCCTCTCGCCATAGCAAGATAATGCACAGAGAGAGAGAGAGAGAGAGAGAGAGAGAGAGAGAGAGAGAGAGAGAAGAAGAAGAAGGTCATTTTCTATCAGAAGTGAAGTAGGTAATAGAGTACAACGGTTGTACCAGCCAAAACTCATTTAGATATGATTATAACATCTGCTGATGTACTTCACAGTTGGGCAGTATGAAGGTGTCATATGTAAAGAAGAAGAAGAAGAAGAAGAAGAAAGATTCAGTGAAAGAGACATACACTGATGTACGGATAGATGTGATAAATCAGACTAGCAGCATCAGCTTCGAGTCATTAATGGACTCAGCGGGCGGCTGGGACATTGTCTGCTGTGGACATTGTTCCTTTCCTGGCAACAGCTGAAGTGCTCACCGGAGTTGGTGGATGTTTTTGTGTGTGCAGAGGGCTATACAAGATCGTCGAATGGGCTGACATAACGAATGCGCATGTTGTGCCAGGACCCGGCATTGTTGCCGGGCTCAAGCTAAAGGTATGCCTCCCACAGTGTTATCTTTTGCATATGTTGTACTTTTTGTGGTGTCTCTTGGACTGGGCCAAACTGCTTCCAAACTGCTTGCTATTCTTCAAATATAATCTTTAAATTGGCTGAACTGTATGTTATTCTGTGTTCTGGATCAGCTTAATAGTACTCCTATTTTCTAGACTGGTTCCCAGGTGGCCCGGCTGGGGGAAGGTCGCCTGGGTACCCTCCCGGGCAGCCCAGGCCGGGCAGTGGCCGGGCAGGGTCCCCGGCAACCCCAGCGCATAATATTAAAAGAAGTAAAAAATTCAAAAAATCCAAAAAAATCTGGAAAAGAATTAAAAAAAATATGTTGTATAAAATTGCAGTACAAGCAACTTTGGCTGAGGGTCCCCTCGAAATTCCTTATTAATTTTAAGTCTTTAACTTTATACCCCCTCAACACTCCTTGGTGACCCACCACCGAAATGGAAGTAAGGCCGGATTCTGACTTCTCACGCCGAGCGCAGTCCTGGCCTGAAGTCAGTTTCCTCTTTTTTGGAGATCCTTCCCTCTCTTTTGACCCGCCTGGTTTTGCCGGAGCTGGCCCGGGCATGCCTGGCCGGGCGACGGCCCAGCCTTGCCTATTTCCATTTTCATCTTCATTTTCCCGTTCCAATTGTTTTGTAACCGATAACATTGGTTTTGTTGTTGATGTTTATACAGGTCTCAAACGATGGGTATTTGAAAACCCGACAAAACACTACCATCTTTAGACTCCTTACCCAAACAGAATGCAAGGTCAATATCTCTGAATCTTGACTGGAAATTGGCCCAAATACAGCTGTAATGACTGGGCGTTCTATCTGGGTTAAGATGGTAGTTTGGCACTAATCATAAAACAGGCACAAATACTTACAGTGATGTTTGCAATTTGAATATGAATACTCCAAAGGTGCTGTCAGCAATTTCGATTTCGTCATTTGACGAAGAGGCTGACTATGACAAGGAAGCTGATTGGATTATCATTGTAACGATTTGTATCAGAGTTGGCAACCAGGTTTTTTTTTTTTTTTTTTTTTTTTTTAACCAGGATTTTTAGGAATACCTGTACCTAACCTGACCACACACTCTTCGAAAACCAACCACCCTTACCCACTGTATACCTGGCCTACCGGACCTTCACCCATCCCCAACTGCTTCGGCAAAAAAAAGATGTGTACCCATACCTGCCCTACTTGAAGCTCTTCAGACTGTAACTGCCCATACCTGCCCATGGACTTTTGTTTTTCAAAACCACCCATGGCCACCTGAACCCAAACAGTTTGTTAACCACCCTACCCAGCCCAGCCCAGATGATTTTACTTGTACCCACCCGTACCTACCCGCAATCGTGTGCACCCACCTGCAACTGCCTGCGCCTGTAACCCACCCTCCCCTTAGTGCACCTACCTGTCCCTAACCGTCCCTACCTGCCCATAACCGCCCCCAACCCCCTCTAACTTCCCCTGACTACCCCTGGGCCCTGGCCGTCCCTTGAATTCACGGAGTAATTTTTAATATTATTAAGTTTTTATTTTTTCCAGCAGTGGCAGTTGCTGCAGCTGCTGCTGCAACCGCAGCAGTTGTTATATCTGGTGCTGCTGCGGGTGCATCTGCTGGTGCATCAGCATATGAAACCTCTGTCGCAGCTGCAAAATTGGTGCAATTGCAACAGCTGTCACACACACACACACACACAGTTCACAAACACTTAGTGTGACACACACACACACACACACACACACACACACACACACACACACACACACACACACACACACACACACCTTCTCCTGAAATGTTGAAAATCAGAATGAATCTTCCGCTGGAACGTGGGAAGATAGACCACCTTTTTTTCTTTTTTTTTTGCATCCCACTAGAAAGGCCCAACTCGAAGTCGGATAGTGTTTGGACTTTCAACAACGCAGTGGACCGGCGGCAAGAGACCAAAAAAAGAAACAAAAATGGCTGTTTGGAGTTCCGACAAGGCAGCGGGAAAAACAATTGGGCGTAGAAGTTGTGTTGGCGGGAGAGGGGGGACGGCGGGGGGAGGGTTGGGGGGCCTGGGGGGTTAGGGGGGTTGGAATGGGTAGGTATACCACGGTTGCCCGCCCATACCCACTCTCTTTTCTTTTTTGCCACCCGTACCTGCCTGTACCCGTTTTCTGTTTTCTTTTTGGCCGCCCATACCAGTTTTTTTCAAAATTCCCCTGCCCCTACCTGCCCCTACCTGCCCCTACCGCCCCTACCGCCCCCATGATCTCGATGAGGACAACTGTGCCTGCCCTAACAATGACCACTTTCTTTTTGCCTGCCCATACCCAACTCCCCCTTCGAAAGGGGTACCCAGCCCCACCCGTAACCTGGTGGTTACAGTTGTGTATAGTCGGGTACGGGCAAGAGTTACTCATTTGCCCTCTAACAAAGCAGGTAGGGAGTTAATGCTCATCTGCTGGGGGCTTTGAAATCAGTTCTGTTAAAGCACCTGTACCTCGTCCAGGCAAACTTGAGAAAAAAAAATCCAACCATCCGGCCGGGTTATTCAGATGAACAGTGATACCGGAGCAAAATGGCTGGCAGCGCCATCTCAAAAGGGAAAAACGATCATACCACGGCCTACCCTTTTTTCTTTTTTTTGCCCTTTTTTTTTTGTAAATGCGCTGCATCACGTCTCCGCGCACGCGTGTGCATGTGCTATGCGGTGCACGTGCGCAACTTGTGCGCACGTGATGCGCCGCATGTATGGAAAAAATGTGTCACTGGCGTGTTTTTTTGTTTTTTTTTGGTTGGGGGTGGCTTGCAGTGCAGATTTGTGAGGGGAAAAAGAGGCTCAGACTACTGGTGTTTTTTTTAAAGGTCCATCAGATGTCAGATTTAGACCAGATCGTGTCATTTGAATCATTTTGGAAAAAATGCACAGGTGCATTTTTGTAGTTTTGATGCTCCTGGATTGGAACCTGCCATAAAAACAGATAGAACGTTGTTCTGGTTCTTCTGAATTTTGTGATTGTTTCAGCTTGGGCTGCTTTTTACAGATGAGTTTAACAGCTTTAACTGTCTCATCTCTTACCCCCAGCCGCATCCATCACTCCGAAAAGATTTGTTATTTAGAACTAAAGATTTGTTATTTCGTAACTAAAGATTTGTTATTTCGTAACTAAAGATTTCAAGATTTGCTATTTCGTAGCAATGAGAGTTATGAAATGACAAATCTACGAAATAACAAATCTTTTTGGAGAGAATATTAGCAGATCATACATGTGGCGCATCACGTGCGCGCAAGTTGCCCACGTGCGCCGCACAGCGCATGCGCACACGTGCGCATGCACGTGATGTGGCACATTCACAAAATAATTAAATTAAAAAAAATCAAGAAGGGTAGACCGTAGTAATCATAAGTGTCCCTCCCTTTTGAAAATTGTAAGTACACGGAAACAGAAAATATTAAAATATTTTGGGGCCGCTTCGTACTGCTCATTAGATATATTCTCCTTTCCGAAAGGGCCCTTGCAAAGCATCAGCAGGGTTCCCATTCATTTGGAAGAACATGCATTGAACTGAAACTGCTGGAAGATCTCGAGCAGGCCAGCAATATATTCTGGATTCGGATTCACCTCTGTGTTCCAAGAGTTATGGGTTACGAACTTACTCCAAACACTACAGTAGCTGTCTCGTTTTTTAGTTTTTCCTTGTCTTACGTGGAAGGGCCTCGCTCCACTCGTCAGCACTTGCAGAATAGAAAAATGTATGGCTTGTATGGTTCCAGTTTCTTGGAGAAGATTCATTCTAGTTTTGCACATACAGTAGCTTGTCTGGTTTTTTCGTTTTTCCTTTTCTTACGTGCAGTGGCCCTAAGGGCCTTGCTCCACTCATCAGCACTTGCGGAAAAGAGAAAACGTATGGCTTGTATGGTTCCAGTTTCTAGGAGAAGATTCATTCTAGTTTTGCACATTTGGTGAGTAGCGGAGTGAAGCCCTGAAAATCACATGCTGAGATAGTAAGTCAGTAACCCATAACTGCTGAAACACGGACCTGAATTCAAAGCTACACCATCTATAGCTGGCCTGCTCCCTTTTGTACCACGAGTCCAGTGGTTACGTGTCTAGTGACCACCCTTCTCCTGCCGACAGGACCCTTGCTAATTTTGCCACGGACCTTTTGAAGTAGTGGCAGCAGTGGTTTGAATAATGTGAAAGGGCTCTTTGCTCTCTCTCTCTCTCTCTCTCTCTCTCTCTCTCTCTCTCTCTCTCTCTCTCTCTCTCTCTCTCTCTATCCAGCGTGTATACACGAATCACGGTTGTTTCCCTTTTTTCGAGTAGCACACCGCGCACCGCACTTCATCTCCAGCTTGTGTTTCAATAACAGGTAAAGCAGTCAGACTACCTGCACCAGCTTGGTCTGACATTGTCGCAGCTCTTTCTAATAATAAATGAGGAGAATGTGGATGAAACACCTCTCTCCTGGGAAAGCTTCTCTACCTGGTGGTTGTAAAACTTATGACTTTCGGCGATATGCCATCGATTGTTTACTTAGATCATCATAAGATAATTAGTGTGTGCATTCCGTCATCTCCGACAGCGATTGTTTACGTAATTAGAGCGTGCATTCCCGTTGTCTCAGAAAATTTCTCCCATATCACAACTTGCCCAAGGAGCAGTTTTTTTTTTTCTTTTTTTTTTTTTTCTTTTTTTTGAGAGGGGGGGGCGAAGCTGGGGGATGGAGCAAGAAATTGAAGAGGACCAGGATCTGAGTGAGACTGCTGGTGCGAATGCAAATGTGTGACTTGCATGGTTCTTTTGCTTGTGCAGGGCCTTGAGCTGGGGCGTGGCCTTTTACTGTTGGCGGAAATGAGCTCAGAAGGCACCCTTGCTGCAGGGGATTATACCTTAGCTGCAGCAAGAATTGCAGCAAAGCATCCGGATTTCGTCATTGGTTTCATCTCGACGAATCCGGCAGGTTGGGTGTGCACGGCAGCCACAAGCGATGCTTTTGTTCAAATGACACCTGGAGTCCAGCTGGCGGCTGGCGGTGATTCCCTTGGCCAGCGATACAATACTCCGTCGTCGGTGAGTAAATGGGTGCTGTCAATTTCCCTCTCATCTCATCTCCTTGTGCCTTCATGGAAAGTTCATTCCCTGTGTTTCTTTTAACACCCAATGTGATCTGTAATAAGAAAACAGACAATCGACTTGAATCGAGCCTGTGTTTGATTTTATTCTATTTTCTTTTTTTTTTTCTTTCAAGAAGTTTGCTACTGCAATGATTTTTGGCACTCCTAACCCCAGGGTTACCTTGATTAAAAACCGAATCCTTTTTTTTTTTTTTTTTTCTGTAAACCAAATCCTGCTCAGGAATGGCTGTATCTTTTGTTGTAGAAAGCGTGAAGGAAGAAGCACCGGGTGTTTGATATGGAGAAGAAGACCAAAGGCCTGTAGTCATATGTGCAATGAGCCCAGACGTGATGATACTCGTCAACATTACCAGTCCATATGATTATCGATGTGCTGATGAATGACAAACAATCGCAATGTGTGTGATGATAG